GTTTGTATGAACAATTTTGTTGTACTAATGTTTGTTATTGTTGAGTACTTAATAAAGAGGTTCTGCTTCTGATGGATGGTGTGGCAAGACATTAGAAGAGAATTAGTTCCGCTTCCGAGCTACACAAGTTCTGTTGAACAATAACAAGATACTCCAAAAGGCTCTGAAGTGTAAGATATGATGTTTGTATAAAGAAATCAGTTAGAAGATCTGAAGACAAAAGTTTCTACTTAGGTCCAGATGCTGAAGACTCAAGCTTTTAAAGACAACGTGTTCTAAGGAAACAGACAAAAGATCTGAAGACTCAAGTATCTACTAAAGCCCAGATGCTAAAGACTCAAGTTTCTAAAGACAGTTTATTCCAAAGAAATAAAGTTAGAAGATCTGAAGACAAAGTTTCTACTGAAGTCCAGATGCTAAAAACTTAGTTTATAAAAGACAAATTGTTTCAAAGAAGACAATGTTAAAAGATCTGAAAACATCATTTTTACTGAAGTCCGAATGTGTTACCTTAAAAATATTTTAAGGTATATATTATGTAATTAATGAGGGTAGTCCCACGAGTTAAGAATAATATATCCTACAAATAAAGGTTATAAGGAAATTAAGCTCGAGAATGAGAAATAGTTGGGAAAATTATTAGTCAGCAGTGGAAAGTCGACACAATTGACAAGCAAGCTAGTCGAAGTTTGGTCTTGTCGACCAAATTGAAATCTAAGACTTAGAGAAGTTTGGATCGTCTATCTACGCTAAAGGATGGCGTCGAAGTGAGTGTTGGAGTGGAATAATTTTGAAATTTGAAAATACCAGCAGTTGCAAGATGGTTTTCCAAATTAAGCGCCAAGTACGTGGTGAAAATATAAATAAGCAGTTATCTTAAGACCAAATATGTGTCAAGTATATAGTGTGTTCTAGTATGTAGGAAGTTAGATTTGTAACTACTATAAATAAAAGGATTCAATGTAGGATTCGGCGTGTTCACTTTGTACTAGAATCACTTAACAAACCTAACATTCCAAGCGTAAGGAAGTAGAGGATTTCAAAGGTGTTAATGTACGTGAATCACCATCTTTATGTCAATGCAAACTCCTTTATTTTCAGTTGTTCCTTTTGAATCTTTTGCTTTAATTTTATTTACTTTCGAACGATCCTTTTATATTATCATCTATGTTTTTGAAACTCGTTCTATCTCTATACTAGAATTTACTAAAGAGTCACTCAACATTTATTTCATTTAAACAAGTCGTAACCGACCGTCGGTCACGGGTCACCTTTAGCCGGTCAAAACATTACATTATGGAAACTCATGTTTATTCTATGCTTTAGAGAAAACTGTTTCTCAAAAAGCAAAGTCTTACATCGGTCGAACAAGTCATACTTAGATACATTAGCACATGTCTTAGGATCAACTAGTCGATCCTGTAAGTAACCCTTAGTTTTTAGGCTTTAGGAAGACTAGCAGTTGTTTACCTTTTTCCACAGTAAACAGGATGTTGAAGAGTTTGTGTTTCTATAGACCCAGGGTTATAAAGACAAGGATTCTTAATGAACCAAGTGCTAAAGATTTTAAAGACGGAAGGTCTGAAGATTCTAAGGACTTGAAAGTTCTAAAGGTCCAAGGTTATCTACAACGGGTTCTCAAGACCAAGTGGTGAAGACTCTAAAGACGCATCTCTTAAGACTTTGAAGACTTAAAGCTCTTTTGATCCAAGGTTCTCTACAACGAGTTCTCACGACCAAGTGCTGAAGACTCTGAAGACGCAGTTCTGAAGACTCTGAAGACTTGAAGTTCTAAAGACCTTATGTTATGTTCCCGCTTATAAACTCATGCTTGAAAAAGCCTTTAAAGTGCAGAAGGAAATAATATAACGGTAACATGGTACAATAATACACAGTACGAAAAAGCTTTATTCCACTACTTCTCCACTAACTTGAATTATGGAAGAGAAAAGAACGTAGCAGTACTATTTGTAACGACTCTTTTTCAAATATCCAACAACTTTATTTTGCTTGTCTATATGAGAAAAGAATCACATGTTTAAAATAGTTGGAAGTTGTATGTTAGAAGGTTGTTGGTGTTTAATGTTAAAAATGAAAGCTGTCAACACAACCAAAAAGCTATCAACCACTATAGCAACAACAAGAACAACTGTTATCAAAATAATTATTAAATCATGTTGATACTGATTACAATGAAATCATTGATTCACAATATGCTTAATTTCATATGCTGCACAAAGCTTGCTAAGTCGTAAAAGATAATAAAAATGATCATGAAAGCTCTAGTTACAAATCCATAACACATATGTTGTGCTCTAAAGTGATCATAGAAGAAAATGGAACAAGGGCAGATGTTCAAAATGTTCTAAAGTGAATCAAGATGAAGAAGTTCTTCTCTTTACCACATCAAGATCAACAAAGCTTTCAGAAGCTTATGAAGAAGAAGACTTCAACGATTCAAGTGCTTTGGATTATTGTCCATGAAGAAGTTACTTGAAGAAAAGAAGACCACACATTAAAGCTACAATAGAATGTAACACCTATCAGTGTGTATTAGGTTCTTCTGATGTACTTAATTTTGTTTATATTCAGCTTGTGTAGAAGCATTGTTATTGTAAATAAATGTAAATCAAACAATTGTTTAATGGTTCCTTGAGACACCCGGTTGAGTCAGGATTCTCAAGAAGACTTTGGCTACAGTCATCGTAGATGAAATCCTAGTAGTGGATTCTATTGGATCAATGGTAGTCATATCTCAAAGGAGTCTGAGTGAAGGTCAGCCTTGTGAGATCACTGATGGATATTATTGGAAGGAAGTCCTGGTATGAGATTCTGAGGGATCGAATTCTATTGGGTCAATGAACATTATATCCAGTCTAGATCACTGAACATGTCATTAGATCTTAGTCACCGACAATTGCCCGTACGATTGTAATCAGATTGGTTATAGTGGATTAAGTCATTGAGTTCAAGGAAAAATCACCTTATAAGGGTGGATTGGACTAGCTCGGGGGTTTCTCAAGTGAAATAGGATATATCGCGTGTTCTTTACTTTTGCTTATGCTTTAGAATTTATGTTTTCTTAACTTAATTAGAAGCATTACTTAGAAGTAATACTCAGAAGCATTGTTCAACAAATAATGCCTAGAAGCGAAAGTTATTCAAGAAAGGAAAATCCAACTCAATCCCCCCCCCCTTTCTTGCGTTTTTTTCACACCTTCAATCTCAAGTTTAGATTCTTGTCGAGAGGATTCAACATTCTCAAATGTATATCCATTATCTTTCTCACTTTTATTCTCCATAAGAGCTAAGACAAGATTAAACAGTGCCTTTCCGTCGGTCGGTATAGGCCATGATCTTGAAGCTGGAAATAGTAAGCATAACTCTAAGCAGTGTAAGAACTAATAAGCACATACATTAAAGTACATAAGCACATATTTGCAACACAAATTTCACTGATTAACTTACAAGAAGCTTCTTCATATGACTTCTTCATTAACTTGTCACAATATATATATATATATATATATATATATATATATATATATAATCACACGCCATCACACTTACAAGAATAACGATTAACTTACTATCATAACTCCATACAGCCTGCAAGTTCTCACCTTTTCTCTTCACTGATCTGAATCTCTCTTATACTTTCTCGATCTCACTATGCTAAATAATCAACAGAAAATAAAATTGTTGATAGTGAATGAACAAACTAAATAATGAAAAATAAAATAAAAAACAAATGAACTCACAACTCCAGTAGGTGAGTAAGCGCTAATAGTGAATATCTTATGAGTGAGATGATCCTTGTACAACATATCTACACAAAAATAAACAAAAATTATTACAAATTTTATCAACTAATCATAGATGTAAAAGTAATAAATGCAGTACATAAACACATAAATATTGCATGAAAGGTTAAATATTGAGACTGAAGTACACAAAAGCATAAAAATGTAAAATAAAAGATACATGTTTGTTTGTTGTACATACATGAAAGATAATAGAAGGAGATGTTTGAAATAACATATAATAGTTAGAAAACACGAAGAACCAAGAACAAATCATTCATTCCAAAATACATGTTATAGCTTTAAGTGGAAAACAAAGAACATACAATGAAATATGTAATCCATGTTTGTGAATGACAAAAAAACATATATATATATATATATATATTGTGAGAGACATACAACCCGAACACCAAACCCGAAGATGGAGACGAGAAAAGGGTTTCTGATAAAGTTTATCCGATCTAAAAAATGTTTGCCTCTTTAAAGAGAGCATGAGGAGAAGAGGAAGGAAAAGGTTTTCTTTTTCTGTTTTGAGTTGTGTCGACGGAGAAGGAGTGAAGAAAGGAGAACGACGGTGATAGGATTTGAGAGGTAAAAGAGAGAGGAAGAAGAGAGAATACGAGAGACAAAAAGAGAAATTGAAAATAGGAAAGATGATATCTTTTTGCTGAGTGAACTAATGTATTGGAGAAAAAAAATGTAAGTTAATTCGGACCAATAAAATATGAACACTTGGGGCATCCACTAAAAAAGTTTAAAAAATGGAGGCTTAATTTGCTAGTTAGTAAAATGTGTAAGTTATAGTGCAAATTTTTTTGTTGAGAAAAAGGTAGTTTAGTCAGTTCATTAGTAATTGTTTCATAGCAGAGTAGATAATAGATTGTTTCATAGTAGATTGGTAAAAACAAAAAATAGTATATGAGTAAAATGAATTGTTTATTCGTTTTTTCAAACCATTAAAAAAAATTGGCAACGGCAAGATCTAGAAAAAGCACGAAAGAGCAGTAAGCAAGTAAGCACGCAGTCAAACAATTTTGACAGTTTTGGAGAGTGCAAAATCGAGATTGAATTGAAATCCCACTCACGTACGTTGTCCTAAACACGTAGTGATAGAAAGAGAAAAGAAAAGCCTCGATTTCAAAATTCACGATCCGATTCTCAACCTTAGAGAAAAAGAAGAAGACCATATTCAACATGACTGGTGTTGATCAACCTCAAGTCCAACCCGCCGACACCAACACCAAACCCGAACACTCCGCCTCCGATTCTCACTCCCACACCCCTTCCGATTACGCTCCATATCCTAAAATCGACCCAAACGACGTCGCACCACCACCACCATCTCAATCCGTTGCAACTGAATCACGCGCCACCGGTGCTGCCACCACTATGCCCACCGAGTCTAATCCATATGTCTCTCCCGCGCCTGTTCCTGCACCCACACCTGCCAAGAGTTTGTTCTCTATCTCTCTCTCTATCTCTTACCGATTTATCATATTCATTTCATGTGTATTAAAGTAGTTATATTCGATTGATTTTGCGCAGATACTTTAGATTCGGTGAAAGATGTTCTTGGTAAATGGGGAAAGAAAGCTGCTGAGGCTACCAAGAAAGCCGAGGATCTTGCTGGAAATATGTGGCAGCACTGTATGTATCATCCATCATTCCTAATTATTGAAATATTTGACCTAAGTTATTGATAAAACTAAAACCTAAACCTAAAAAAAGCTTTGGATCTTGAGCACTTCTTTGTTTACATACTACACTGTTATTGGTTATTAATTCTCTACAAATATCTTCAATTTTCATCTTTTATTTTGTGCATGCAATGCCTGAAACAGTTTGAGGTAGAGGAAGATCTAGAAAAAACTATTAGAAAAACTATAAGAGAAGTTAATAAAAAATTTCTTGAGATTAACTGTTTGGATAGAAGCATAGTCTTGGATAGAACATTACGGCAGAAGTTGATGTATGTAGCTGACTCTATTTAGGGCTTGTTTAGATAAACAACTTATTTGCAGCATATAGCACAAGTGCTTATCAAAATAAGCGCATATGAATAAGCTCGCATAAATTATATTTAAAACAAAAGATAAAAGAAATTTAAATTGTTTTTGTTTATGTTATAAGTTGTTTTCATTAGCTATCTTGAAGAATTTATAAAAATAAGGTTAAAAAAAATTATGAAAAATGTCGTAAGCTGTTTTGAATTTTGATTAAGTCTTCCAAGCAGTATCACAAAACTTATGACAGTAGATAAGCTAAAATAAACCCATCCAGACAGGCTTGGTTGTAATGTTATGCCTTAAATTATATTTGGTTATTAATTTTTCTTTTTAATAATAGAAGCTAGCTAGAGAGAATGCATTTCCGGAAATACTAAAATTAGTGTTGCCAGTTTTATTTATTTATTTTATAATTTTCAAGATTATTCAATCTATTTTTAAAATACATTTTTGAAAACTTCCGTAATGTCTTGTGTTATGTTTATTTTATTAGTGAAAATGAAAACAAAAAACACCGTTAAGTAAATGGCCTTAAACATTCTTTTGAGGTACAGTTAGTTTCTTATTTTTCTTGGTGCTAATTTATTTAGTTAAGTGCATTTTGGTTTTCCATGAGACAGTGAAAACGGGTCCTAGTTTTGCGGATGCTGCTGTGGGGAGGATTGCCCAGGGAACAAAAGTTCTCGCAGAAGGTGGTTATGAGAAGATCTTTAGACAAACTTTTGAGACTGTACCCGAGGAACAACTTCTTAAAACATATGCATGCTACCTCTCCACCTCTGCAGGACCTGTCATGGGAGTCTTATACTTGTCATCTGCAAAGCTCGCATTTTGTAGTGATAACCCACTCTCTTACCAAACTGGTGACCAGACACAATGGAGCTATTATAAGGTAAACTTTATGGAATGGAATTCATTTGCTTCTTATTGGTTTGTTCTCATTAGCTGGTTTGATATCTTGACTGTATACTGTATACTGCTTCATTTTCTATGATTATTTCCTAATACTAGAGGTTTAATATTATTATTTTTAGAGTTGAATAGAAAATAATTTCATGTGCATGTTTCTAAAGCAAAATTTACCGACACATACTATAAGTATAAACCCCCCAAATCGCGTCTCGAAAATTTTGCAGTAGGGCTCATTAGTCATTGAGATTTAAGAATGTGAAAATCACACTCTAATCCCTTGGAATCTGTCTTGCCGTCCAAATTCAGCTTACTGATTTGATACCATGATCTGTATACAACTTCATTTTCTAAAATATGGTAATTGTTTACTAACTACTAATACTAGAGGTTTATTATTATTTTTATAGAGTTCAATGGAAACTAATTTTTAGTGTTCTTTTCTGAAGCAAAGTTTTATGACACGTACTATAAACCCCAAATTTCCGTCTCATAACATAAATTTAGCTGTAGAACTCATTATTCACTGAGATTTGAGAATGTGAAAATTGTACTCTAGTTCCTTGGAACCTCAAATATCAGTCATGTCAGTCCTTCTTAGTGAATAGTGACTAATATCACCAGCATTTGATACTGTTTTGATTCGGATGAGACTTTTGGAATTTTGAGTAAGAGGCTTGCTGAAACTAATTTGAATGTGTATCCTTATGCATGTTAATTATTATTTTTTGACCAATCCCACGTTCAGTTATGTTTCTTTTCTTGAAATTAAGGATTGCTTTTAAGGGTAGTCTTACATTAGTTACCTTACCTATGAAACTTAGGCACTCCCAGTTTGCTCAAGTATCAGCATTTGCTGTACCCGTACCCATGTACAATACTCATTGATATCAGATGTATCTAGGGACTATTGACCAATATTTCTTTAGAGAGATTATTGACCGTTGTATTTCAGACACTACTCCTATCCAACACGTTTGGGATACATCACAAGCTACTTGCCTTAGAGCTTCTTCTTGTTGGGAGAGTAGCTTATTGCCCAACCTTTTTCAACCTAAAAAAGCTTCTTGGACAACCTTTTTCGATCTAAAAAAGCTTTTTGTACAACCTTTTTCGATCTAAAAAAGCTTTTTGTACAACCTTTTTCTTCATCATGTTGTGAGAAGAGTTGGAATGATATCAACAACATAGTCCCTGATTCATTATTTGAACAGAAACAAAATAGATGAAAAAAGGGCATATATTTTGTTCATGCCCACTCCATCCCCTATAGTGCATAACCTATTGATGATTGTGTTGGACTTCTTGAATTCGCCCAAGTTGTCTCTTTATAAACCAAACTTAGAAGCTATGCTATTTATGTAAATAGGATTGATGAATATGTACAATTAGTATTGGATAGCAATTGAATAGAGATAAGGCTTCTCTTAAATCAGATTGCTGATGCTTGTTGTGATTATAACATTGGTTGGGGTAAAATATGCAACTTTTGCAAGATGTGTATTGGCCTACATGGGAAAGAGTATAATTTGATAGGGATTACGAAAGATGTGTTTATGCCTTTTCTTATTGTCATGATTCACAAGTATATTTTTGTAAACTGTGATTGTTATCTTTTGATATGGTTACATGTTAATGAGCTATATCAAATTTACAAGCAATCTGTATTTATGTAAAATATATATAAGCTTTTATAATCTTTTGTTGGTGTATCTAGGCTACATTTTTCTAGAGTATAAAAAGAGTGGAAAGTGGAAACTAACTTAGGTGGGTTACTTCTTAGCTTGTATCTTAGCACATGTTTGAGAAATCATCAATAAAAGTACAGTGTTGTCAAATATCGGTTATATTGCCAATATACCGGTTTTTCATATCGGAATTTGACTATCCGATACGAAAGACGATATTCCGTTTCAATTTCGTTACGCGCACCATATCGGCCGTTTTCCAATATATCGGTATACCGGTTTTGAATTTGATATCGGTATTAATATTATTATGAACATTTTTATAATACTAAGTCATAATTAGTAGACTGTGAAGAGGCGCAATAATAGTTAATTAGTAGGAGGCTGTGAAGAGGTTTAATTAGTAGGCATGAAGAGGTGCAGTAATAATTAATTAGTAGGCTGTGAAGAGGTGCAGTAATAATTAGTAGGATGTGAAGAGGTGGAGTGGAGTATTAAGAAAGTAGAAACGTGAAGAGGTGGGAATTATTAACCTATTCTCGAAAATAGAAGAAAAAGAATGTGAAGAGGTGTTATATTATGGAGTTGGTGTGATTATATATAGGAGTCAGAGTATCCCTATCAAACCCTAATGTTGTTGGCACTTCATCTAAAACAAAGAAGTCGGCTGGAGGTTCATCTAGGAAGGGAAAGCAACATGTGGTTGAAGAGCAAGATCCTGTTTTCGTAGAATTAGAATTAGATATTTATCACTAGTTATGCTTAGAAGAACTACTATTAGTTATTACTTTTGAAGTTTGAACTATTTAATTTTGAGTCCCAAGTCATTTTGAAGTTTGAACTATTTTGTTGTTAGAATTTGATATTTGTAAGAAAGAAGAGTAGAGAAGAGAAGTGTTCTCATTTCTGTAACTGAATTCTGTTATGCTTTTTCTGTGTTAGTTACAAAAGGCTCCTTGATGCTTTATATACAACATCAAGGGTAACCTGCAATTACAGGTTAAGCTAAGCTGATACTTACAACTGTCAGTCAAAACTATAAACTAAAATAGGGACTTAGCTACTTATATATTCAATACTCTAAGTTTGTGTATAAGCTCCAAAAATTTGGTGGAAGCCAATGGCTTAGTCAACACATCAGCAATCTGATCAGTGCCAGGGATGTGCAGCACTTGAATTTGCTTAGCCAAAACCTTTTCCCTCACAAAAAAATAGATCAATCTCCATATGTTTAGTTCTGGAATGCAAAACAGGATTATGAGCTAATAAAACAGCTGGCTGATTATCACACAGTATGATGGGAGGCTTGGTTTGAATACACAGTTCCTGCAACAATGTTTGTATCCAAAGAAGGTCAATTGTAGCTTGAGGTAAACTTCTGTATTCAGATTCAGTGCTGGACCTAGCAACAACTGGTTGCTTCTTTGACCACCAGGCAACCAAATTAGCTCCAAAGAAAATAGCAGCACCAGATGTACTTCTTCTGTCATCTGGATCTGAAGCCCAATCAGCATCACAGTAGACATGAAGAGAGGGAGTAGCCTGAGGGGAAAGGGGAGTGAGAGATAAACCATGATTTAGGGTACCTTTCAAGTATCTGAGAATCCTTTTGACAGCCTGCCAATGAGAATCAAAAGGATGTGACATAAACTGACACACTTTGTTAACAGCATAGGTCAAATCAGGTCTGGTGATGGTGGCATACTGCAAGGCACCAACTACAGACCTGTACATAAAAGGATTAGAAAAGGCTGCAGACCCAGTTTTGATGAGTTTGTAGGTGGACTGCATGGGTGTGCTAACAGAACAGGCTTCCAACATGTTAGTTTTCTGCAACAAATCTGAGATACTTAGTTTGAGTGAGAAGCATAGAACCATTAACTGACTGCTTGACCTCAATGCCCAGAAAATAGTCAAGATCCCCAAGATGCTTGAGAGAGAAAGCAAAATTAAGCTTGTGAATTACTTCATTGAGAAGAGTGAGGATAATATCCTCTACATAAACAAGTAGATAAAGAGAGTGCCCTTTTGACAAGTAGGTGAAGAGAGAGGGGTCACACTTGCTGGCTTTAAAGTTGAGCTTGAGAAGAGCTGATTGCAGTCTCTCAAACCACTGCCTTGGAGCCTGTTTCAGGCCATACAAAGCCTTGTTGAGTTTACACACCAGAGAGGAATTAGAGTGAATAAACCCTGGAGGCTGCTCGATGTAAACTTCTTCATCAAGGAGTCCATTAAGAAAGGCATTATTTATATCTAACTGCTGAATAGACCACCTGTGGGTAATGGCAATAGTGAGGATGATCCTGATAGTAACTGGCTTCACAACAGGTGAAAAGGTCTCAGTAAAATCCAGACCATGCCTCTGATGTAAACCTTTGGCTACCAACATGGCCTTGTATCTGTTGATGGTGCCATCAGGGTTTTCCTTGAGCCTAAAGACCCACTTGCAGCCAATAGCATTCTTGTTGGGGGGTAAGGGCACAAGAGACCATGTGGCATTTTTCTGTAAGGCATCAAATTCATCTTGCGTAGCTGCCTTCCAATGCAAATCAGCAAGAGCCTGTTTAACAGATTTAGGCTCAGAGTAAGTAAGAAGTACCCTAGGATCCAGTCTAGGCTGAGAGAATCCAGATTTGGCCCTAGTTATCATAGGATGAGAGTTCTGAGGGATAACGGGCACATGAATATCATTAGGAGGCACATGTGGTTCAGAATTTGTGTCTGAAGATGAGTTGAATGAAGAGTCAGCCTGACTAGAGAAGGATGAGAGGGTCCCTGAGGAGTTGCTGGCAGTAGTAGGTGAAGGAGCTACAGAACTACCAGCTGGTGATAAATCCTTAGGGCTAGAAAAGACAGAGGTGGGAGCATGAACATGGGAGGTAGTAGGAGAGGCAGGTTGGAGATCATTTGAAGGACTAGGGATAAGAGATTGTGAAGAGGTGATGTGAGGAGTAAGAGCACTCAAAAGGGGGCTAGAGTAATGGGGTGCCAAGGATGTACTGTGGCTGGAAACAACACTAGGTCTGGAAGAAAATAAATCTAGATATGGAAACCTAGACTCATTAAATAGAACATCCTTTGAGATGTATAACCTGCCATTAAGAGCCAGACACCTATAGCCTTTGTGAGACGTGGAATATCCAAGAAAGAGGCATTCTTAAGATCTGAAGTTAAGTTTGAGAGAGATAAGGTCTCAGGAGAGGAAAGCAAGCACATCCAAAAACTTTCAGAAACTTATAATCAGGTTGCTGATGGAATAGAAGAGTGTAAGGAACCTCAAAATGAATGGAAGCAG